CAGTCACTAGCAAAAAACAGATTGTACACTGCCTGTAAGGACAGCAAACTTCTACAAGTTATGCCAAAAATTAATTTTCTTAGTCTTTCATTCCTTTTCTGTGATCTTACAGACTCAATCTTTCCTTCTCACAAGAAATCCCTTTGAGGAAAGAGTTGTGGACCACTCCTTTTCCATCCCCTCTTGGTCATTTTTCTTCTACTTATCTATTGCCAATGTTCCTAACGGGGGAAAATACTCAGGATTTTGATGTTGAAATCATGGATGTTGCAACAAAATGAATAGCAGATCAAAAATACATTTTCCCACTTCAGCAGGAGCCATGCCTCCCAACACTCTGCTTGCACAGAAGGTTAATGTGCAATCCAGAACTTGGCCATCTCCTGGTTTATAGGTGATGAGTCTCCACATCTGCTGACACCAGAGAAGAAATTCATGCTAACTGACAAAATTAAGGTATTTCAGGAAATGGAAAACTAAAGGAAATACTTCTAGAAAACATATTCAATAACAAATATGAGATGTATCAATAGAGACAGTGGCATCCTTTGTTCTTGATGTTATTCTTGAGGAACTGGCAAAACAGCCAAAATACCTACAAAGATTGATTCATAAGGGGTTTTAAATCAAAACAAAATAGTTTGGGCTTCCTGGAAAAGTATCTGTGTTTTAATTAAGGCCACCTCCAAGGTTTAAAGCGTCCAATTTAATTCTTGTCTGCACAAGAAAATCCGTGTCATTTAGCCAAGCAACATTTGGATGGGTTTACAGAAACTAAAAAGACCTCCATGAACATGCCTCTAACATTCGTTAAGTATTTGCTTAAATCAGTCTGGCACATAGCAACCCTTCACTGGTACCTTCCTTTCAGCATGCCTCTGCAAGTTTATTAGCTTAGCCTGTCAATTTAAAATCTGACTTCTTAAATGGTGCAGTGTCTCCGCAGCTGGAGTCTTGGGAATGACAAGAAGTTATTGCAGGTAGGCAGTTTCCCCCCAAACAGCCACTCATGCACATATTCCTCCCCCTTCAAGCAGCAAGAGGAATTACTTTTGTCCTGTTCCATGGCAAGAGAGGCTGGAACACAAATGTGAACAGTCTCTGTAGAAGAGCTGGAAAGGTAGAACTTGTCAGTCACAGCCAACTTCAGAAACACAGAACTTGCAATGCCACTACTGCCACAAGACAGAAAACCACAAGAGCTCACCTGCTCCCAGCTGAACTCGAGCCACAAAGACATCAAAGACCTGTGAGCACTGTGGGGCAGCAGCTCTGGACTCCTCCCTGGCCTGCACAACTTCTTCTTGCTCACCCTCTAAAGCACAGAGCAGGCAGCAGCAAATCCTGCATCAGGGGTCTCTAATCCGTGTCAGCAGTGGAAAAGCTGATTCACCCCTGAGTACTCTGCTCCAGTTTCAAACATGCAAAGGATCAGGCTGCCAAGCCAGACTGCACAAGAAAGGTCTGAGATACAACACAAAGTAGATGTTTATAGGCACTTTAATCCATGCTCTACATTTTAGTAACACCATCAGTTATTTAATCTACAGATTCAGCATATTTTCACATCTGACGGAATAAGCTCAGAAGTTCCTACAACAAAAAATCAGAAATTTAATATGCTTGAAGTCAATTTTTGAATGAAACAGCACAATCAGCTTCCTAATTTTCTACCTTTTCTGCTGCAGTGTATTTCTAGTTTTCACAGAACATTTACACTAATCCTTACCCAATGCTGACTCACATGAGAAACACGCTAGAACGTGGCTGAAGGATGTGGTGCATACAACTCTCACACAAAGAGAGCTGAACAAATGCTTTCACGCATGCTGCAAAACCCTGCTTGATCAGACACTACTTCATACATTAACATAGGAGCTGCAACAGCAGATGCTTCCACCTCCATAAACCACCATATGTTTAGAAAAGAAACCTTAGATAAGAAGACAGTTTATCTGCCTCCCACACTCTTAACAGGGATTCAAACAGACTTCATTTCTGTCATACTTTCTGAGAAGGGAAAATCAAATTCATTTCTGCACTTGAAATACAAGAACATACTTTTACTCTGCAGTAGCAAGTGATATCTCTCCAAAATGAATGGTACCAAAGGAAATTGCTTGATTTTGAGGATACCTTTAGCTGCAGTATCACCCACCAGGCAGATGCAACTTTTTAGGAAGTTGACAAACAACAGTCTCAGAAAGGAATGAAGGAATGATGGTAATCTTGTAAGTTTACTTTTTCCTTTCAGTGGAAGTCTCACTTTACTTCTCTGCTTCAAGTTATCAACACACAGCTGCCACAGTGCCAAACTCAGCCTGCTGGCTGCTCTGACTGCAACCACTCCACAGGACCTTTAATGCATGTAACCAAAGAATCATCCTGCCTTCCTGCCTCTGTTCTTTTCACCCCCACAGTACCCTCCTCTTTCTCACTGGAAAATCCCAAATCCTCACTTTTACTATCTGCTCAGACACTTTTAACTTCATCCATGTGACCCCACACCACACACACGCCTTATACCTACCAGTAAAAACTTGAGGTTTGCATCACTTATTGTGAGGAAGCCTATTTTCTGCAGATAATTTTTCAAAATACCAATAATTTATCTTTATTGCCCTTGCCCTTCTGTTTCCAGGCTTTCTGCCACCTGAAGTGCTTCAATCACACCTACTGTCATTTTACATCACTATGAAAATGATCAGCCTCAGCCATTCTCATAAACTACAGTCACACAGAAGCTTTTCAGGAAGTCTACCCAGTGCTACTCCTGTGCATAATGCAGTATTGATTTGCATCCTCTGAGAATGTGATTAGATAGCAGAAGCCAGGCCACAGGCCCCAAAATCCACAGTCAGACTCTCTTCCAGCAGAACAAATGCCACTTCCCCTGCTGGCATCCTCATCTGAGGCTGGGAGACGAAGGCTCATTAGAGCTGCACTGTTATTTCTTTCCTTCCCTGCTGCAGAAGAGCTCCTAAAACTCTGCAGGAGCTTATCTTACCCAGAGAGGAGGAAAAGCTCATGCAGGAGGCATGCAGTTCTTCAGAGACAGTTCTACCAGGGGAGGCCAATTGCTTGTTAATCAAAAGCCTCTTATCTGGAACCACCTGAACATTTACACTGTTCTAAAATGAGGCCTAGGAATCCCAGCTGGACTGTTTCACATATTTAGAGGTTCTCCATGGGGTAGCATGGCAGAAACATACTGCAGGAAGAGACTGGTACAATCCTTTCCTGGGCACAGTCTGCATTTGGATCAGCTTAAGCTAATCAGAGATACCCAGGAATCGTTTCCTATTAAGAGGACATCCATAGGAAAGGAAAATAAAACAAAAACAGATCCTAGCCCATAAAAGCATGCAAGAATGCTTAATGTAACTTACAGACTACTCTTTCTAAGGAGAGAGGGATTTGATCTCATGTTGAAATACATTTTCCAGGGAAAAACAGCAGGTTAGCAGAGTGCTAACAACCCTGTCCACCTGCACAATTACTGAGAGATTTCACCCTTCCTTTGAACAGAAAGCAATGCTCCAAATACCCAAATGGAGAAAAGCCCTGTCCACCTGCACAATTACTGTGCTGGCATTGAGAGATTTCACCCTTCCTTTGAACAGAAAGCAATGCTCCAAATACCCAAATGGAGAAAACACTGTTTACAGAACAGCAACAAAGCCAGGGCATGAGATATTATTTTTTTTTTCCTTTGGAAGAGTAGGGGCTGCACTTTAATAACATAATTAAAGTCCTGTAGGTTTTACTGCAGCGGCCCTGCAACTGATATTAAAAACAACTCAGGAAACAGCTTGGCAGAGATGCTGTAATAGAGAGCATCAGCGTTCTAATTACTTTCAACAGCAATTTTAAGGCTGACATTGTGACAAAGTGAACAAAGGTGAAACAGCTGTCTGGAAAGGTGGATTCTAAACACAATGCCTGCTTCCAGTACCACCTTACAGCAGGGAATTCTGACCTGCCAAGTCCCCCACTACAAGCAGCACAGGGCTTTTGGTGGCTTATTTAGATCCATTTGCTTTCTTGCAAGGCAGATTAAAGTTTCTCTGGTCCCTTGCTTGCAAGTAACATTGAGACAGCCCATCTGCTCCAGCATGTTCTGCAGCAGCTTTCCGAACAAGCTTTAACACAGATACAAAAAAATAAAAATACCACATGGCAAAAATGAACTGACTAAAGAGCTGGAGACCAGTCACAGAGAATAGCACATATTTGCTAAAAGGAAGAGAGAAGCCTCAGTGTTGCATATAAGTATATACTGAAGAACAAGGGGGGAATGAAGGACGGAGGGGCAGGAGGGTGGAAGAGGGAAGAAACGGTTTTAAAAAAAATTTCCCAGTCATAAAGGAAAGAAAGCTTTAATACTTCACGGGGTCACACAGCACTCCAAAAAGCAATGTCTGACCTCACCCTACAAACGAATCAATGAACGGAGCAGCGCCAGCAACACCAACGCGCAGCGATCCTCACATTTCAGGTCAGACTTGCAGAGTTTCAGTCTACCTGCAGCCGGGCTGCTGCTGCGCCTTCACATGCATTTAAAGAGCATAAGAAACAGTAATTACGTTATCTCCCATCCCGTGTAGCACACCCTGCTGCAGCCCCTCGGTCCCCCCGGGGTCAGGTTAAACCAGGAGCCCCCAGCAAGGGGCCGGGTCAGGCGGGGACCCGGCCGGGGCAGCCTCCCGCTGTCACCTCACCGAGACCCGGAGCGGGGCAGCCCCGCACCGCACCAGCCCCTGGGGCTCAGGAACCGCTGCCTCAGGGCAGGCGGGAAAACACAATCACACCGCTAGGTTGGAAAAGACCTCTGAGATCACCGAGTCCAATCTATGACCGAGCACCACCGGGCACAGCGAGCCCGACGCCCCCCATCCACACCCCGGGGCTGCCCCTCACCCCGGCGCCGGTTCCCCCGCCGGGGCCGCCTCCCCTCACGCCGCCACCACGGCCCGTGTCCCGCTCAGCCCCGCACTCACCGCGGCGGTGGCATCGCCCCTTCGCCCGCCCCGCGCCCGCTGTGGCGGCGCTGGCGCCATGTGACCGCTGCCTCCTCCTCCTTCTCCTCCCTATTCTCCTCCTCTTCCTCCTCCTCCTCCGCCGCCATGACAGGCGGGGCTGGGGCAGCCGGAGAACATGGCGAGCCCTGAGGGGTAGAGCAGAGGCGCTGTGGCGGTGTGTCCTGCATCCATTTTGCCGAGCTGTGAGGGGAATCAGGAGTGCAGGGCTGTGGATGTGCGGCTTTTACTCCTCTCCTCCCCTCAGATTTGCTCTGAATGTCTCTGCTCATCCCACTGGGTTTACTCGGTGTCAGGCAGCTCTCTGAGACGATTAAAGCCTTTTCCAGCCCCTCGAATATTTGTTTCGGGCTTTTCGGCCTTAAATGTCCCCATGAAAGTACAGAGTCATGGAATTGTTTGGGTCCCATCCAGCCCAAGGCAGGTTCACATGGAGCAGGTGTCACAGGAATGTGTCCCGGTGGATTTGGATGCAGTGAGGGGAGACTCCATGACCTCCCTGGGCAGCTGATCCGCCTGTGCTCTGCCACCCTCAATGTAAAGAAGGTCTTACTCATCTTGAAGTTAAACTTCTTGTATTTTAGTTTATGGCCATTGCTTCTTGTCCTGTTGCTGGGCACCACCAAAAAGTCCAGCACCGTCCTCTTGAGATACTTCTATGTATTCTTGAGATCCCTTCTCAGTCTTTAAAGTGAACAGGACCAGCTCCTGCAATCTCCCCTCATAAAAGAGATACTCCAGTCCCTGTTCTTGTCCAGGGGCTTTGAAGGGGGAAAAAGGTGAGTAGGTCAGGGTGGAGGATGTCTGGGCAGACTAGCCATGGATCCCTCACCCTGTAGGTTGAGTTGCGGTAGGGAATGTGAAGGGGTTGCTTTCTTCAGCTGGAAGAGGGAGATAGCAGAGGAAAATCTACAACAACTACACTGAAATAACCTGAGATTGGCAGTTAATGCGCTTCCATAGCGACAAGATTTACATCCTCACAGGTGGGGAGTCATGCTGAAACCTCAGATCTTTGATATCCAGAGTACAGGGTCAAACAACTGGCTTGCTAAACCCACCACACCACAGATCCATCTTTGTGCAGGACTGACTTGGCAGGTGTTGTTTCTCCAGGCAAAGGACTGAAACTGGAAGGCATGTTGGGTTTGTAAACCCCGATGAGGTTTAAGAACAAACTTTATGTCAGATTTGCACAGCACAGTCAGGACTGGGAGCTTATTTTATAAATACCCACATTACAGAACTTGAGCTCCCAAAATGACACCTTGAATACGGCAGATTTTATTTTATTGAAGTGGAAATTAAACGGGGTTGACACATCCAAGCCCATTCTTTGGTGGATATTGCCCTCAATATCCAGAGATTATGGCAAGGTGCTTTATAATAACAAAAATAGAGCAGAACCCAGAACCTGTCAAAGAGCTGTAGCTGCAGCATTAGAGTACAGAGGGCAAAAAGGCAATCTGTAATCAGAAGCTGCAGTGAGAAAAAAGGGAGTTACAGCCTGTGGAGGGGTTAGTAGGTGGATGGCAAGGAGGTAGCAGGGATCAGGATGAAAGCAAGGTGCAGTTAAATGAGATAGCCACACAGCCAGCCCCCCATCAGACAGCTTTTCAGAATTCCTGCTTCATAATGGCTAACATGCACCTTTGATCTCTGTCTCATAATAATTTAGCCCAAGGACTGCAAGTGTGTGTTAAGCTCTTTTAGGTAAAAGCAACCTCAGCATATATGATATCTGTTTTCTGCAGAAGCATTATCCTGGAAGTCCTAATTTGGCCAGTTGTTGCCCACCTTGTAATTCCAGCTATTTAATCTCTTTTAATTCTTATTGATAAGAATTTTCCTGGTGCTTGGATTATCATTTTATTAACAGAATTAATAAACCTATACTTTTTTGTGTCATTTACTGTAAGGTCTTTGAGATGTGTTTTACCTCTCAGAATTCCTGATAATGATAATCTGTCCAGCCCAATTGCTTAATAAGATCTGTGATAACTCCTTAGTGTTCACTAATTGACCCACTTCCTATGTGCTCACAGCAAGAGGCAAGAACTCTTATAACAGTCCTGGCAAGAAGCCATAACCCAAAGTAATCCTGTGTCAGTGTGGGTTGGGGTCAAAATTTGGGTTCCATATTTACTCAAGCTCTGAAATTTCATTTCTGTTGTTGACGTGTCTTGGACACAGAAATTACACAAGAGAAATGGACAGTCAGCTACAAAAGATATTCTTTAAATCCTGTCTCTTTTCTTAGCTTGACCCATCTGCTTCGTGAAAAAAGAGGCAAATGTCCCCCAAAACCAAACAGAATTAATGTGTATTGTTTTTTTCCAAATCCAAATTGTTCTGAACAAATTTCTCCAGCTGATGTGTAGTGCTTGTTGACCAGCTGTGATAGAGAAGACTGGAGGAAACTCCAAGTATTCCTTCAATAACTGGGAGGACTTGCATTTGTTTCAGTGGTTTCCTGTTGCAATTGTTTGCCTACAGGTTGTCTATGAGTGAAGTCAGTCTCCACATCCCCTAGTAGAGTTTCTGAGTGATTCTGGTTTTGAGTGGCATAGAAAAGCCCTTGCAAGTGCTGGAGAGTTTATTTGGAGTGTTTGAGGAAGCAGGACATTTGTCTGGTTGCTCTCAAACCTCTTCCTTCTTATTGCTACTTTTGCTGAAGACCACTTGATGTGAGTTTTTTGCCTTCTTTCCCAAGGAAATAAGGTCAGATGACAACTCAGAATATGTATACAGGTTTATCTGTTCTGCTGTCTCTTCTCAAGTGCTTCTGAAATCTTGGGCTATATGCATCAAATTTGACAGTGGGTGGAGATCTCAAAGGGGTATATTCTAAATAGCTTTGCAAAAACAGATGTCTGAATAGGAGGCACTGTTATCCACCACCAAGGAAACGCCTGTAGAACAAAGACATCCCACATACCCTTAAATTTATTAGGAGCACTCAGGAAAGAATCTATGGAGCTCTTGTGGCTCATACATTGAAGGCATCAATTCTGTGCTTTGGAGCAGGTGAAAAGACAAAAAGGATGTTCAGTACATTAAAACCAAAATATAGAACAAGATGGGAAGATTTGTAAAATCAAAAATGCTTGCACATCTTGAATATTGTGTGGAATTCTCCCTAAAGCACCAAGGTACAAAGAAAAGCAATGAACTGATCGGAATTCCTTCCTTAAAAAAAAGAGTTGGAATGCACTTTAATGGTTTAATTAGGAAAAAGACCATGAAGGAATGTGGTTGCAATAGTGGTCAAAAAATCTGTTGTAATAGAAAAAGTGAATTCTGTATTTCTTGTAGCAAAAGATTTAGATGTCCTGAGTGGTATTTCCAGGCAATAAATTTAAAATAAATAAAATAAAGTATGTTTTCTCTAGAGTTACAGTTGTAAATTGCTGCGAGTGTATCGGAGAGGCCAAAAGTATAAATGTTCTCATGAGTGGATTAGAAATGGAAATGAGAAAAATGTCCACTGAAGCCTCTTAAGCATAATGCTAATGCAGCTGCCAGCTGAGGAAATCTCCAAGTAAAGGGGTGGATTCAGCCAGCAGATTAAGGCACCTAAATTTGGTTTTCCATGTGTAGGTGTCTCCATGTGAACCAGATGTCTAAGCTCCCCTTATACTCAGCAGAGAATTAATGTGGGATTTAGTTACATAAATGCAGGCACCGAGTGCCAGTTTAAGCACTGAGGAATTTTCTACCTGGCCTCCTGCTCCAAGAAGCAGCAGGTATCCAAAAAAGCTGTTCTGGCTGAAATATGTCGTGGAAGTTGTTGGTATCTCAGTCCACCATGGCTGTCACTGAGCACAGATGGTTGGCAAGCTGAACCCTGCTCGTGGTTGCACAGCAAGCGGTTCAGACCACCTCCAGGCAGATAGATCAGTGTACTCTGAGCAGCTGAACAGCTCCTTGCTCCATCAGCTGTACTCAGTAGTTCTGTAGCGACTGCAGGAGGAATTTATGTGCAGATGAAACATTGGCATGGGGACACTTCAGTCTAGGTGTCAGAACTTGTAGGTTTTGCCAGGCTGTACAGAGGGACTATTGCTTAGCTTTTCATGCTGTCTCCTGAAGTTTCCTTAGGTAGTCGGAGCAGTGAGTTGATTCAGCAAGTATTGATTTGAGGGAAGAACCCAAGAGATTATGTATGAAAAGCCATCCTAAATTACTGTTGGTAATGAGGCTTGTGTGAAGGATTAGTGACAGTGTGTTGTATCATGGTGCATGGATATGGAGTGACACTTGGAACACGGTGACGTGACTCCCTCAGCCTGGAAGACACCCAATGGCCAAGAGTTCTGGGGCAGCCACAGGTACTGCTGCTGACACCCAGAATGGCCAATTCCTAAGCCATTCAATCCTGTAGCTGAAAGGGATTTTAATTTTTTTTTCTTCCACAAAGGGAAATCAAAACAAATTTGGTTGATGACAGTCTTTGCATGCTGTCATCTGTGAATCAGACCAGTTAGGTCTTGTTAGAGTAGCACAACTTGTCGTAGAAGAATTTAGGCTAAGATTCAGGGCAAATACATCAAAAAGAAGGATAACTAGAAAAGCCAGATGATAATTAAATTAGTTTTGGAATGCTGAATCAGTTTTTTCCTCAGTCTCTCATGCTTCAAATTATTTACATTTTCTTGTTGGAAATACAAAACTTTTAACACTAATGCTGTCCTCTGGGGCTGATGAAAGTTCTAACAAAACAAGTCAGCAAGTTCAAGAGTTTCTTTTTTGGATATCATACAACAAGCTGTGAAGTTTTTTTCAAACATCATTGGGCACCAGCCATGCTCCTACACATTTGCTAATTATTGACAGAATGCTTTGATACTGCAATAAATAATAACAAATAATAAATAATAAGTACTTCCTTCTAGCATTCCTGGTGCCAGGAGAACATTGTGCTCCCAAATATCTTGCTCAGACAGAGATGAGAACTAACCTAATACATTACAATAAACAGGTTCTCTCCCTTTTCCCATACACAAGACACAGATAAGATCTACAAA